TAAGTAGAAGAAAGTTATAGTTTTTCGATGGGGAGAGAGACTGGGAAGTCAGTGGGATTCACTGAGAAAAACAAGAATTCAGTAGCTTGACTAGAATGGCTTGGTGTTTTTTTTCTAAGTAGAAGAAAGTTATAGTTTTTCGATGGGGAGAGAGACTGGGAAGTCAGTGGGATTCATTGAGAAAAACAAGAATTCAGTAGCTTGACTAGAATGGCTTGGTGTTTTTTTCCCTTGAAAAATGGGATTTCAACCTAAGAGTACAACCCGTTTCCTAGCAACATCCCAACATGTTTGCTGTTGTGTCTTTGTTTCTTCTCGGGCAAAGCCCTGTGTTCTCTTCAAATAACTTCCTCTGGTCCCAGGTACTATGTTAGAATTTTTCTTTCATGACTCATTCTCTATGATATTCCAAGCAAACATGTTCACTTGTGCTTCTTTTTGACAGTCTTGATGGCAGCTTCTCACCACCTTTATGCTGCTCTTCAGTCATGGTACCCTTTCCTCTGCCTTGTCTTCCTGCACTCCTACTTCACGGTGCACCTTCCACAGCTCCCTGCTCCCTACCTATGTTAGTATTCCGTTGGTGTGTAACACATTACCACAAACTTTGTGGCTTAAAACAACATACATTTATTAGCGCACAGTTTCCATGGGTCAAGAAGTTGGGCACAGCTTATCTGCACAGGGTCTTACAAGGCTGCAATCATGGTGTTGACTGGGCTGTGCTCTCATCTGGAGGCTTGGCTGGGGAAGAATCCACTTCCAAGCTCACTCAGATTGTTGGCAGAATACACTTCCTTGTGGCCACTGGACTGAAGGTCCTGGCTTCTTTCTGGCTGTCAGCTCCAAGAGGCTGTTCATAGTTCTCAGAGACTCCCTGCAGTTGCTACAGGCCACCCACAGTTCTTTGCCACATGGGCTTTTGCAATATGGCCTCCTCATCAAGCCATCAAGGAGAATGAGTCTGCTAGCAGGATGGAGTCTTACGTAAGATGACAGAGTCATAAGAGTGACACCCCATCACCTTTGCCATATTCTGTTGGTTAGAAGCAAGTTGTGCTCACACTCAGGGAGAGGGGATCACAAAAGGCATGATAGTCAGCAGACAGGGACCTTAGCGTGTGGCCAACATGCCATCTGTATCAAACTTTTGCTTCTCTGCCTTCCTTTTAGTGTTTTAAACTCTCTATAATTTGACTTTGCCCTACTTCTAATTTACTTTCCCCTTTAATGCCGTCTATCTCTCATTTCCCCCTCAATAATTTTCTTCCCTTTTCATGCCTTCCATGATGCAACTTTAGTTAATACAGACATATTTTACTTAATTAGCATAACCATGATTCAAAAATATTGTGAATAAAGCAGGATTACTTTTTATTGAAATGAGGGGTTCTTAACTGGTTTTTGGCTTATGAATCCTTTTGAGAATGTAATTAAAGCCGTAGAGACTCACTTCCCAGAACTGAGGAACACCACCCCATGTGTACTGTTTCAGTTATTATTGCTACACAAAAAACTACTCCCAGCTTAGTGTTGTAAGACAACCACCACTTTATTGTGCTAATGGTTTAGGGAATTCAGACAGAGCACAGTGGGGATGGCTTATCTCTGCTTCTTGATGTCTGGGGCATCAGTTGGGAAGACTTAAACAGTGGGGGCGATTCAAATGGTTGGGTGCAGAATGATCTGGAGGCTTCTTCACTGATGCATCTGGTGCCTGGGCTGGGATGCCAGGGAGGCCTGGCTCCACTGAGATTGTGGATTGGTGTAGTGAGGTTTGACTCTCCATGTGGCTGCTCACAGAGTGGTGGCGGGCTTCCAGGAACGAGAGAGGGCACATCTGAGAGTGAGCATGCCAACAGACCACGCTATAGCTGCATCCATTCTTGCCACTTTCTAGTCTGTTCTTCACTCCACAGCCAGAATCATTCTTCCAAAATACAAATTTGCTCCTGTCCATCACCCATCCCCACGTTCTCCATCAAACTAAAACCTATGATGCTCCAATGGTCTGGCCATCACCTGCCTTTGCAGCCTTATCTCATGCCATGCCTACCTTTGCTCTTCCCAACATAGCTATGGTTACATTCTTCAGTTCTTTGTACTCGTTATGCTTTTTCCTGCCACAGAGCCTTTGCATATTCTTGTTTCTCTACATGGAATACCTTTCCCTACGCTCTTTGATTGATTAACATCTACTCCTTCTTTAGATATTGATAGTCACTTCCTCGGTGATATGCTTTCTGACCTCCTGGATAGCTCACATCCATTATTGCATGACCTTAAGGATTATCTTTCATCTGCAACATTGATCATTTTTACATTTGTGAGACTGTTTAAGTCCGTATCTTCCATGGGACTGTGAGTTCCAGGAATCCAGAGATCACGTATAGTTTTTCCTTAAGTCATTGCTTAACCCAGTGTCTGGAATACAACACTTGCAGATGGAAGGAAGAAAAGGAGGAAGAGAAAGAAGGAAGGAGGGAGGGTGGCGATGAATGAATCTAAAATATGCACCTTTGGACACTTGTAGTGGTGAAGGACTCACTAACTTCAAGCCCGTTCATTCAATTTCCAATAGTTTTTTTTTTTTTTTTCCTTCTCTGCTGCTTTTGATTTTCTTGATGGTGTTTTCTTTACTCCTTCCCCCCCTTTTTTTTGGTTTT